AGAGTGGCGCCACCTTCTACTGCCAGGGCACCGCCAGCGAGTCGCCACTGGTCTAGTTACGCCACTACATCGCACCGCATTAATTATGTAGAATATTTGTTAATATCTCTTCTTATACATAAGAGTCTATGACTTAAGCAGAGTTAATCGCCAATAGCTATATTCAGAAGAGGTAAAATAGTAAAATGCCCACTGGCAAAAACTAAATCAGTACTCATGACGTGGTTCCAATCAACAATTATTTTCGCCAGCTGAGGTGCTGCTGAAAGAAGCATGTGAAGAAAAGACAATTATTGTGATTTCACAAGAAAACTATCACTGATAAAGAATGTAAGTGGTTGCAGTTTATCCAGTCGGAATTGATTGAAGTGTGACGAAATGATGATGAGTCTTGTAGCAGCCTATAAATATGAAAGTACATTCATATCAATATTGAAATCTAGTATAAAAAGTACCTTTTATTTTAAATTCACTAGTTTCTCTCATCTAAGTCATGTTAAACAAATTTATTTCCGTATGCTTTGACGTCTGAAAACTCGTTCTTAAGAGCAAAACAAAAGATCTAATGATATCGAAAAGACAAATATGTCTGATGACTAAAGCACTAAACTACATGCACATAGATACATCATATTACAATTCGAAGATCACTCTATCATTTAACGTACCCATATTGTCGAAAGCTGAGATATCGTTCTGGTTTCGTTTTCTATATCACTTTCTATTTCATAGTCATTTTTGCACTTTAGTAAAAGGTTGAAATTTTCTCAATATACAATACTAATCTCTTAAAACACAATACACATCAATTTTTCAAACAGTAAATCGATAGACATTCATTTTTTAGATTTATTTCTTCTTCAGCTTCTTGAGCAAGAAAGTGAAGTATATATACTTCATGTGCATATGATACCAATTTTATGTGAATAAATGCAGTTTAGGGTTTGATTAACTTTTCAAATTGAATATCTTTCTGCTGAAAGGGTGTGGGTGTGGGTGTGTGTGTCAATATTAAAATTCTCTTATACTCACACCCACAGTCACACCCACAGTCACACCCCACATCCACACCCAGGTATAAGAGAATTTTAATATTAACACCCACACCCACACCCTGATAAAGAAAATGTTTGCTTTACATTTTCCCTAGTCAATAATGATAGTGCGGTGAAATATTTGATGCGATGAGCTATTTCTAGAAATGATTATCTCAAACCAGTTTGGATGAGACTGAAAGGATTTAAGTAGACTTATAATATTTCGCTGTATCAGGTTGGTGATAGAATCAGGCCCCTAATACCATATGCATGAAACATACTGGGCAGACCTTCCAACGTTGTCCGTTTTTGTTGTCATTTGTATATGTTTAGTTTGTAGTTTTTTGGTTATGTATTTTGTTCGATCTAAATAATTGAAAGGTTTGTAATGGTCGTCTGAAGAACGAAAATTCCCAATAACGAACATTTATCAAATAGTCAGAAATTGAAAAACTTAAATCTACATCTTATTTTCGAACTTTTGTGAACTTTAAGATATTACAACAAATCTCAAGGTATTTATCTCGATTGATATTTAAAAATGCAAATAGCATACGGCCGAATGAGATCCTTTATATCATCGTCGCTTCCACCAGCTTTATCTTTGCTGCTAACCCAATATTCACCATGAAGTGTTTCCTGCTTGTCAATAATTGTGAGATATTTTGGATTGACACGATTTTGCAGGAGAGCAAAATACTTGTTACCTTGATATTCAAACTCCGATGCATAATCCTTGGCTACATGAAGTTGCGGTGTTGAATAGATACCCCTTCCAAATGCGAATCGATCACATTTACTAAGTTTGAAACCCTCGTCGGCGATACTCATTGCGTTCATTTGAGCCGTTCCATGGTAAGACACAGGCCATTCTTCTGGATCTGTACCGGTCATTCCAAGCCATCTACTGTCAGTTCCATATTTTCCAGCAACATTGAGAGCGATTCGCATGCAGCCAGAAGGTCGTTCATAGACATGATCGCCCCGAGTGAATACTTGTCCGCAATCATTTATATCTGTAAAATCAAAATCAAACTCAGGAGCAAGTACCGATGGATCGAGAGCTAGGGGGCCACTCAGCACGATTTTAACGTTCAATGATCCATTCCAATCCTGAAGACAGTCGAAAATAAGTGCATCATCAGGTAGTTCGTTACCTTCTTTGAGAACCACTTGGTTGTGAGTCTCAATACCTTCACGGTCTCTTATGATATTTTTCAATGCACTGATGCGGTGTTCCACGACTAGATCTGGCTCCAATATCTTTCCTGAAGAAAGAATAATCTGAACTTTGCGTTTTACGGGCGGGCTAATAACTACTTCAATAATTTGACCTGCTTCAAGATCATATGAAGATAATAGACGATGATTTTCTGCCAGTTCAACGCGTGAAACCAATGTGAATAATTTGAAACGATAAGGCAATATATTGAGTCTTTGTGAGAGACTATTGATAACTGTCTGAACAGACATCGATGGTAAAATTGAAATATCGTAAGTTTGATTGGGTGATGACATTGTTCTCAAAAATAGGTTTGAGGTGTTAATTGAGAGTGCGATGGTACTCCCATTAACTATTTGCGTCTGACGGCTCAATTTTTGCGTATCTTCTGTTTTGAAAAAATTTCGAAAGATTGTCTGACCAATCTTCTTGGGCCGTCGGCCGGTATTATATGTAGGTGCGCCATTTTGTAGTTGTAATTGTTGAGCTAGTATAGCATAACCAAATCTTTGTTCGATCGCTTTATTCAAATTCGAGACCATCCAAGGTCGATCGAGCAACAGTGGTTGACGAGTTTTATTTGGAAGCTCAATGCAGAGTAGCGCAATGCTACCTCGAGCATCAACTATGTGTGCAAGATTTGACTTTAAGTTTGGAAATATCTGCTGATCATCTTTTTGAAATTCATCTTCCATGAACAGCAGTTGATGCTCTACAGGTATCTTTAGCTCTTCTTGAATGAGTTGTTGAATAGTACTCAGTGGATCCTGGTCGGTAACCTGAATTACATTTCCGGTCGGTTGTAACGATAACATGCGAACTTGTCCAACTAATATTATGGAACCATTAGAGATGAGATGACTGTAATCGGATACAAACTTTTGACTTTCTAGAACATGACTACCACATGTTATTCGAAACCGAACTTCCTTGCTACAGAGAAATTGTGAGACTTCGTCTTCAATCTGATTTATCGACCATGATGAGAACAAAATAGTATCTATACAAGTTTTGTCAGCTAGTTGTAACTTGACACGGATCGGCGGAAGTAGAGTAAGGGTACAGCTATATTCGTCTTCAGTGTCGAGCAAAAGTTCATCGCTATCATCCACTAAGCATTGTTCTTTAATAGGAATGTTTGTTACTTGCTCGATCTTTCTCTTCAGCTCGTGAATAGATAGATTCGGAGAACACTCAATGTTTGCTTCGTCACCTGACGGACACCGAATCGTAATAGTTCGCATTGTTTGCTTTTCATTAGATGGGAGTTTGCACAGAAGAAATAGTGTCGAACACTTGGAAACATGATAGTATGACAAGGTCCTCCCACTGCGAAGCTTTTTCCCAGCAAAAATCAGTATTTGTTGGTCGGATGGTATTGCTGATTTATCTTGAATTTTCACTTTCACATTTTCTGTGGTATCACTCAGTTCCACCTCCAATTCAAACACTTTTCCAGTGAGAAGTTTGACAAATATTTGACTACCACCACGGAGTCTTAATACGAGATGAACTGTTGATTCGTCCCATATATTATAATCTTTCACTGTAGCTCTGTCTTTAAGCTGCTTCCCAGCAAAAATAACTCGTTGTTGATCAGGTGGAATTCCCGTTTGGTCTTGAAGTTTTGTTTTCACGCTTTCGATAGTATCACTCGGTTTCACTTCGATCTCACTGGTGTGTCCAGTGAGTGTTTTGACGAATATTTGCATGCATTCACTCCGTTTAACTATAAGATTTAGTATTGATTCGTCTTGTACATTATAATCTTTCAATGTACGTTCATCTTCAAGCTTTTCACCATTGAAAATCAGTCGTTGTTGATAAGGTAGAATTCCCTCTTGGTCTTGAACTTTTGCTTTCACGTTTTCGATTGTGTCAGAAGAATAGGCATTCACAGTTATTGTTTTATTCGTTGATGTTTTCACGTATAATTTTCCAATAGTAGAGTTTGTTGGAACAATACATGAATAGAGTTTCAGCACATCAACAGCCACTGGCGGCGTGGACAGATTCGTTGAGGTTACACCGAACAACGCAGAGAACGCTGCTGTGGCTAACTCGTTGCCTGATGAAACTGACATAGTTTAGATTTTACTATGAATAATAAAACCCAATGATTATACTTCTATAAATTCACTAAAAGAATAAATCATTTACGAAATTATTAAGACAATAGATTGAGTATATGCTTCACAAACATGCATCTTTCCTCACACTGAAAACAAAAAAGGTACTTTACCGAGCTTAAAAAGGTTTCGAGTTTTGAAACGAATTCTGAACCTTTTCTCGATGCTGTACCGAACTTTGAAGGTTTCGTAAAATCTCACGAAACTATGTTCAGGCTTTTACCGAAATTGAAAGGGTTTCGTGTGACTTCACGAAACCTTGAAAGTTCAGTACAGCATCGTAAAAATGTTCAGAATTCGTTTCAAAATTCGAAACCTTTTTAAGTTCCGTAAAGTACCTTTTTTGTTTTCAGTGTAGCCTGAAACGTTAACAGAAACAGAAGTAGGCCAACGGTTCCAAGAGCAAACTAATTTCTAAGTTTAATGATTAAGTTTTTAAAATTTTCCTCAAATTGACCTCAGGTATACTAGTAGGTAAAAAAAACTAAAAGACCGAAATTATGAATCAATGCGGTCGTTTTCGATTTTATACGAACGAAGAATGCATTTAATTCTTGAATTTAAGAAAATGAACAAGGACAACAGTGAAAGAAAATTGTCAACCGAATCTGACAGTACAAGCAAAGAACGGAAGAAGAAAGAATACAGAAAATACCAAGTAACCAAACAAACACGACTTTGCTTTACAGTATCACCCACTATTCAGCGATCTTCACGCCTGCAGACGCTAATTCTGTTACATGAGCGAAGAAGCTCACATAAATTTTGTACTCACGAGGGAACCTATTGAAGTGTCCCCCGTCGATTTCAATGAAACTTTGTCAGTAGATACTACATAGTGCCCTAGTAAAATCCTAAAAGGGTTTGAGTCCGAAACGCTTTATTCCAGAATTATGGCTATCTTAATTTTTGCGTTTATAGAGCAAAATATACAATATTTAGTGCCATAGTTCTATGAAAGTACGTTACAAAATTTGAATTTTTTTCTTAGTGTTGCTCAATACCAGAGATATTTTGGTTAAGTAAAATTAGGGATCGTAGTCTTTCGGTTTTCTTCATTAACATAATTTGTTTTCCTTAAGCAAATCAATAGCACACTATTTTACATAGAGAATATTTTCCTGCTGTTTTTGATTGCATGTGCGTCCAGTCAGTTTTTGGACAAATGCATTCGAATAAATTCTCTATGTGCACATTTTCACGTGGTATTTAAAAAACGAATGATTTGTTTAAAATTCTCTAACTGTCATTTAATGCAATCCTATTTGAAACATAAGAATATGATAAATCCCCAAAATGTTGTCAATATTTCAAGAAATCTAATTTCCGAACGTTTAACATTGAATTCAACAGCAGCATCAAGTACACCACTTAACCCAAATGTCTCTGGTATTGAGCAACACTAAGAAAGAAATTCAGAATTTTGTAACGTACTTTGATACAATTATGCCACTAAATATTGTATATTTTGCACTATAAGAGCCAGTCCACGTAAGCCACGACCGAGACCACAGAAAAGCTGCTCAATCGAAGTCTTTACAATTCGCTCAATCTAGAAGAATCTTATAGACGGAAAAGGTTTATGAACTTTGGCGCAAGGCGTTTTCAAAACTATTGAAACGTTGATTTTTTATGACTGTTTTTCAAAAAGTCCCAAAAGTCGGTATATCGACCAACGGGAATCTGAACGGAGTCAGATCTCAAGAACAGCGTGACGGATCAAGCTGAAATTTTATACGAGCGTATATCTTGATGAGTTATAGCTAACATACAATTTTCAGCTCAAAATAATGAGACATCCAGTTTTTATGACTCATCCTGTTAGCGTCCATGATGGATCACATGGACACTAAACGATGATTAAGATGCGCCTTCTAGTCTAACTGGTTAAGGACAACTGCCCGGATAGCAGGAGGTGTGGGTTCGATTCCCACGAAGGTCATCTTTTTCATCGTTCTGCCACATAANATGAGTTATAGCTAACATACAATTTTCAGCTCAAAATAATGAGACATCCAGTTTTTATGACTCATCCAATAAGAGCGAAAATTCGCATTTTAGGCAACTTTATCGCTTCATAACTCGTCATAGGAACAAGATAGAGGTCTGAAATTTTTGCTTCAGTTAGGGTTCATACTGATGTATGTTCTTGGAAAATTTCAGCTCTCCACATCTTTCCATTCGACCAATAGGATTCTCGGAAAATGGGTTTTTCATGAAAATATTGATTTTCAGATCGGGTTTTCTCCCAAGAAACCAGGTTGTTTCAGAGCTGGATTTTAGAAGTTGGAAGAGTCATCTTAGGTGTATAACTTACTGTGAAAATAAACCTGGGCCACCCAGAAATGGCTTGCACCAAAGGCTATCATTCAGAGCCCCAAATGAGATATTCGGCCAATCCATGTATACGAATCTTATGAATGGATTATCTTAGACAGCTGAAGTTTTTACCATGAAGACATGTTACCAAGTATTTACTCTTGTGAAAATTTTAGTTCTCTTGACGGTTCCCATTGTTAATGGCATCTTTCACAAAATCGGGATTTTCAAGAAAAGCACGATTTTTGCAAGAAAATAGCAATTCTGCTAGCGTTGTATTTCTCCAACAAATGGGTTCCAGAGAGTTCAAACTAGTACCATTTAAAAGCACAGAGTGGTGTTTACAAAATTTTGTAAGAAGCGATCCAGTTTTTTGTATAGTAGTCTCCGGAGGTTTACTGCAAAGTACCTAAAATGAGTTTTTTTCGTTTGAAATACATTGGAATTCCCTCATAAATGAATTTAAAAGTTTCATCAACTTTACCAAATTCTGTGCAGTATAAATCAGCATATAACCCTCTATTGGTCCATATAAACAAGGGCTTTAAAATTTAGAAACTTTTTTTTTCGGAAAAGCCTGTACCCCCCCCCCATTT